GTTGTAGCACGATTTCCTGGCCTTTTCGTGGAGACAACTAGAAGACTGTATTTACTTATTGGTTTCGACCATACTCTCAAATCAACCAGAAAACAACAACAACAACGATCGCCAAATCGCTGTCATCAGCAAAACGTGCTCGCGTGCGTGCATTGGCTTACGTGTACGTGTGCATCAGTGTGCGTGCATACATATCGAAGTGTACGAGTAGAAAAGAAGAATGATCATGCGCATGATGCATCGATGAGTCATACCACCACGTAACCATGGATATAAATAATGGCGACGCGATGGTGACAGCAAAGTTCCGCGTACAAAAGCGCAGGTGCAACAAGGAAAAATCAGAGTGCAGAACAAACAGAAATTCAAATCGAAAGGAGATAAATATTGTGGAGATGAAGCAAATCAGTTTGGTCTGTCAGAGGGTGCTTGCGCCCAGAGACAGGGTGACAGCAAACCCTGTCAGAGAGAGTCAGTGTACAGAATAGGAATACATAGAACGCAGCACGCAGTGAATTTGCTGTGGAGAGCGAGAATGCAAGCAACAACGTAAGTATTAACTATGCAACTGATTATATCGGCGTATCTGACAAACACGCACAACAAACACTGTATTGTAACAACACACTCGTAAATGATGTTATCACAACAACACTCATTCTATTTCAGCGCAGTGTCCTGTCCAATCACACTCAAAATCACACTCGTAAATCTCGCACACTCCCTCCTTGACAACATGACAACTGACACTCATAAATCTCGCACAACCAACAGCCTTCCAACTTGGAAGGTTCAAGGTTATGACAAGACCAAAGACGGGAGGGCAAGCGCAACGAAAACGAGCAAAAGCTACAGTCCCAACGGAACAAAGAATGTCGTTTACTTGTCTTTGATATTTATGACCCACCCAAGTTGGGTGGTGTGCTGCTTTTGCTGCTTCGAATTGTAGTCAGACCGCTTTGTCAAATATCGTACTGGTCTCGTCATCGTCCAGTAACAATCGGGAAGAAAGAAAGCCAACTTGTGTTCTTCGCGGTGAAGTCTCCTACTAGCACCATGGGCTTGGGTGAAGCACGGCGGAGACATGACTCAAGGCTGGCACAGTAGTGGTGTATGTCGCTACTGGGTGGGCGATGGGAGACACCGAATACGAAGGATTGGCAGTTTGGCGGAGTCAGTTCGATCCACACTGATTCGTATCCAGATACATCGTACATACTGAGGTGCGAGTGAGTGAAGGACCTGTGAATGTAGACCAAGCAACCGCCTCCTTTGCCCTGCTGTCGATCGCAGCGATAAAGTGAGTAAGAAGGTAGGTCATATAGGCTGTCGCCATCGAGAGGAGAGCACCATGTTTCTGTAATGGCAATGACAGTGGGGAGTGGATGGCATGTTTGGATAAGGGAGGGAAGGTCATCGAACTTATTTATCAAGCTTCGGACATTTAACGATAAAAACGAGAAAAGCATTATAATGAGGGTATAAGCTAAGAGGACAAGGGTGAGGAGAAGAAAGCAGGAAGAACGTGAATGTTTACAAGAATATTTATGTATTGTGTGGAGAACAACGTTACTGTATATCCTGTGACGCCAGTGGACTGAAGCGTGAGCCCTGTGCTGGGGTATGGGGTTGGCTGTGGGCAGGGTCGATGTTGTCGCTCTCTTTTTGTTTTTTTGGAATTTTTGAAATCAGGTGAGGATTCCACACTGGGACTGGACGTCCTGCGTCGTTCGGAGGTAATCCAGGGGTTTGCTGGCTTATTAGACATCGCTGTGTTAGTCACCAGTGAGGAGATGAGGTCTTCAGCACGCGCCGAATCTGGGTGATTGCATGTTTCGGTAGGAGTAGTTGTATCGGTGTGCGGTGAGTTGAAAGTTGTCTTACCTGTACCTGTGCTGCCTGGCGGGGTTCCGGGGTGCACTGTCGTGCTGGTTGCCGACATCGGCGATGTAAGGTCGAGATCGCTGACTGGGTCGCTTGGGTGCGAGCTGGGGTGCAGGTCTGCTTGCGGCGTGGTGTCCGCGCCGTTAGAAGCCGTTTTGGATACGGCACTTGCGTGGTTCAAACTTTGGTCCGCTTTCGGCGCGGAGTCAGTACGGTGAGCATGAGAGCTAGCTCACCCGTCCCGCTCTGTGCTGCTGCTTTCTTTGGGGTGCGTGGACATGGTGGAAGTGTGTGCACTGCGACAGTTTTTGCAGGTACGCGCGATGTGACCTACCTGGCCGCATAGCCTGCACATGCCTGCCTGGCCATCGTACAGAATGCGAAGCTCGTGCGAACCTTCCGTCGTACGCAGGTACGACGGGATCGAGCTCCGTGGCTTTAGTTCGAATATGGCGAAGCGTACTCCAGTTGCTGTGTGGGTATTGTTCCTAGCCTCATGCATGAAAGAGATCCACAACGATGTGGAAGTTGAGCCGATACTCCAACCCATCACCGGTGAAACCTTTCGCTATCGTACTGCCAATATTGAGCCCGATGCGCGAGCGGACATCCGGGTGCGGGGCTTTTGGAACCATAGCCGCAATGCATTTTTCGATACGAGGGTGTTCTATCTCCACGCAGCGAGCTATCGGTCCCAGCCCATTGCATCTATTTATCGCAAGTTGGAAGGTGCCAAGAAGCGGGAGTATGGCGAAAGAGTTAACCAAGTTGAACATGGCTCGTTCACACCACTGGTCTTCTCCTCTTGCGGCGGAATGGGTCCAGAGGCAGACATCGTCGTCAAGCGGATTGCTGATGCTCTGACTTCTAAGCGCAAGGAGAGCTACAGCAAAGTCGTTTGCTGGATGCGCTGCTGCTTGGCTTTCTCTCTTGCTAGGTCTGCGATCCGGTGCGTTCGAGGATCACCCTCCGTTCGCCGCCGTCACGTCAACCTTGTGCCTGTCGACCTCGTCCAGGCTGAGGCTCGCCTTGCTACGCATTAGACTGTCCATTTTAGCTCCCTCCTTATTGGACTGTTTTCACAGCCATTGTAGCTTCCTCCGTATAAGACTGTTTTCACAGCCATTTCAGCTCATTTTCTCTTGGTATAAAGCTGTTGACCTTAAAGCCTTGCACTTGTGTTTATTTTGCCCGTAAAAGAGGCTTGGAATCATAATTTTTTGGAAGTTTGATTTTTCCGTGTCGGATCTCACCGATTTCCTTTCCATACAGTGTGAGAGCTGCTTTGAGCACGCCGTCTGAGATCCAGATCAGGGCGTCATGGATGTGCAGCTGTGTTGTTGGTGCGGAAACGAAGTGTGGTGAAACCCGTTCACCCTTGCAATCGAAGCCATTGAGCACCAACAATTTTGCTTTTTCATGTGACTCAACGGTAAGTCTACATTGACCCCTGCTTGACCCCTTGTTGTAGTCTTCGGGGTGCTGAGTCGAATGGTCTTGGTCCGAGGAAGCTGAGACGCTCCCTTCCTCCTTTATTCCCAATCGAACTCGCGCACTTCCACCGAAACTGGGTGACTGCGCCCTACTAGATAGGGACTTGTATGGAAAAGTCACTAAAAGCGCCGTTTCGTTCTTATAAAAGCGCGGATGACCGCAATTAGTCCATATGTTGTAGTGTTTTGGCTGCTGAGTCGACTGGTTTTGGTCCGAAAAGGCTGCGATGCAGCGTTCGGCCCTTATTCCCAATCGAACACGGGTGAGTAAGCAGTCACGTGCTTACATCCTTCAGCCTCATTCTGCCCAGAGTCGCGCACTGGTTCTTCAAGACTCACCAATCTCAGATTCCACAACAGGCTCGCCTTATTTTGTCGTGTTATTTTTCACGAAAGACTGAACGCGACATGCAACTCTCTCCTTGGAACACCAGCACCGGCATTATTGGCAGCCCAGTGCTAGAACTAAGTCAAACGAACTGGCTATACTATGCGAAGAAAGGAAAGGCAGCCATTACAAACGCCATGGCGCAAGCAATTTGAATAACTAAAACAAAGCCCAACAATTTGAAGTTTGAAGAGAGCACGCGGAAAAGTACTAATGTTACGTTTGCTCGCTTCAAGTCGCGCTTGCAAAAGTACTAGCACCCTTTGCTCGCGTGCCAGCAGTAGATACTTTTTTCGATGCGCGCGCATGTGGTCCGAGCCACCTTAAAGGGGAAGTTAAGGCAAAAATCAAATTTTCACCAGTTGTAGTTTTTGAGGTGCTGAGTCGAATGGTCGTGGTCCGAGGAAGCTGAGACGGTCCCTTCCTACTTGAATCCCAATCGAACTCGCGCACTTCCACCGAAACTGGGTGACTGCGCCCTACTAGAAGGGGATTTGTATGCAAAATGTCACTAAAAGCGCCAATTCGTTCTTATAAAAGCATGGATGACCGCGATTGGCCCATATGTTGTAGTCTTTTGGACGCGGAGTCGATCGGTTTTGGTCCGAAAAGGCTGCGATGCAGCATTCCTCCTTTATTCCCAATCAAACATGGTTGAACAAACGGTCACGTGCTCCTGCGTACACCAGTCACCTGGTCACCGTGCCTGCAGGGTACAACTTACTAGCCTGTTTGACCTTTTTTGGGTGCAGTCCTGTCACTCGAGTTGACCTCAAGTTGAACCTTGGTGTGAAAGTTGTCGCCTGCTGGCGTGGTGACCAGGTGATTTGGGCACCCAGGAGCACGTGGCCGCTTGTTCAACGATGTTTGATTGGGAATAAAGGAAGAATGCTGCATCGCAGCCTTTTCGGACCAAAACCAGTCGACTCAGCGTCCAAAAGAGTACAACAGATGGGCTAATCGCGGTCATCCGTGATTTTATAAAAACGAAATGGCGCTTTTAGTGACATTTTGCATACAAACCCCTATCTAGTAGGGCGCAGTCACCCAGTTTCGGTGGAAGTGCGCGAGTTCGATTGGGATTCAAGTAGGAAGGGAGCGTCTGAGCTTTCTCGGACCAAGACCATTCGACTCAGCATCCCGAAGACTACAACTGGTGAAATTTTAATTTTGCCTTAACTTCCCCGGCTAAAATATACTCTGATATCACCTTTTTTGTCATAATCTTCATGCAGGGGTCTTGATGGCAACAAGCTGACACACCTTCCCCCTCGTCTATTTCAACACCACAAGAAGCTGATGATTGTGTGAGTATTCAGTGCAGAGTGTTGGGTAGGATTCGTTAGTTGAGGGAGTTGTGCTCAATCTTCTCAGATTTCAAACCTACTATAAGTCACAGTTGAATAGTTTGTTTGCAGGGAGGAGGGGGTCCCTGACTATTGCTGTGATATTGTTGTCTTTGTTATTAAGTCGCCGAGTGGAGGCACGACAATAAACACGAAATAACTTTAAATGGAGTTTTCTCAGGTACCTACCTGGATTACATTATAATAAGGCGAGAAGGGAACTTTCTTCGGTGCACACCTGGAGGTCAGAACAGCTCTTCTGCTCGGCTCGTTGTTTCTGAGAAATCAGTAAAACGCAGCACCATTTATAGGGCGGCAGACTCCGTACGCTAACGTACGGGGACACGCTAAATGTACAGTATAGTAGTAGTCAGCTACGATTCAGTAAAAGCAAGGCAGGGATACTACGCATTCTGCTTGGTAGTGGTGTTCCTTGAAAGTTGAAACGATCTCTTGCGACCCTGAAGGTCTCACCGACATACCGCTTCGGACACAGTGCACACTTCATCATGTAGATAATGCCGGGGGAATCACACATGCAGCTCGGCAAACCAGAGGAACATGAGATACAGGGGTTGAGTGGTCTTCCTCGCCTCCGCTGTTCTCGGCGCCTCACTCATTCTTGTGTCACGCTGCACTTTGTTGGATTCAGCGCTGACTTCACGAGGGTATCCTTGAGGTTGGGAGTGTGTTCAGACACAATATTGACCGGGGACCCCGAGCGCTCGACTGAATGCTTCGCCTTCCGCTGAATGTCTTCTGAGCGAAAGGGTAGCTTCGTATACCGGAATCTTTTTTTCATATATGGCTCACATCGTTGGGCAGTGTGGCAACTTTTCCGAGCAATCTCAAGATTGCACATGCTTTTGGTAGGGAGCTCAATCGAAAACCAAATTCGCGAGTTTCGCATAAACCGCTAGTTTAGCTAAACTGGGAAGATGTGAGCAAATACCTGTGAAAATTTGAACACAAAATTCCAAGGCAATCTAGAGTTATAGTCGATTGAAGATCGAAAAATGGGGGACAAAAATAGTCACAGAAGTAAATGCAAGACAGTTCTTGTATGTATGTGAGCCATGTGGTTACCGTCCAGCACTGCATTATCTGGTGCATACATGGCGATACTGGATGTGTGCCTGCATGCAGTGTGCACGCATACCGTTCGCACCTACTTGCACAAGTCACACGTTTTCACCGTCACTGCTTCTACACTGTGCACGCAGTTCACTCGATTTTTTTCAGCAACCACCGGGAAATCGCCTTGGGCTGGTTTCTCTGATCATTTTCCTTCTACCGCGATAAAGCGCGAGCCTAAATGTTCTAGTATCCTCTTGGTTTAGGCTAATTCGAGGCCGCTGAACACGAAAATCGGGTGTTCCTCGCGGGACCGAGTACGGATCTAGTCGAAATTAGTACTTCGAAGTGCATCCGCGCCAAGCGCGGAGGCATTATTTTTGGAAGCATGGCATGTGTGGCACCATTGGAAAGGTAATGATCTCAGCTACCTAAAAATAGCATTGACAAGGCTGAAAAGGCCGCGGGAGAAGATACTTGGGCCTCGAACTTCATCTCGAACTCCATCTCGAACTGTCGTCGTCATCTCCAAAAATTTGAAAAAGGCGCTCCTTTCCGTGAACTGTGCACCCCCAGATGGTGCGCAGTATCGCCGACGAGAGCGGAGAAATTGGCTTCTCCTGAGCTTCTGCCCTAACTCTGAAGATGACAACAAGCGGAATCCAGGTCAGGTATACATACTTTAGGCCGTAGTGAAGAACCCAGGTTGTCTGCTTGAGACTGAAACGGAATTTTTTTGAAGTTTGGGCCGCTGGACTATAGCCGTTGTTCGTAAATATTGATGTCAGTCTGTCTAATTCGTCCTGCAATAGATGAGGGGAACATATTCTATGTGCACGATAAACTAGCGCTTTCACAAGATGTCTCTTCGATTTCGTTGGAGTATAGCTCCCCCATGGAATGTAGAGGCCGGTGAAAGTTGGCTTCCTATAGATAGTGGTGTCTAAACTCTTAGACTCTGGGCTCGTCGCTTGGTCCTGTATTGGCTAATATATTTGTAGGGTTCTGTGAAGCGTCCATTATTCCATCATTGTGGCCCTCTATGTACTGTCGTTTTGTAGACGATGTGTACTGTCACGGTGAGGATGAGGATGTCTGTGGGACTTTTCTACTAACTCTGAATAGCCTCCACCCGGCGCTGAGATTGACGTAGGAAGCGGAACAAAACGGCAGATTATCCTTCTTGGATGTACAAATATCACGCTTGCTCCGCCGTCGCTGGTGGCGGTGGTGGAGGAGGGAGGGCGTGGTGGCTCATCGGGCTGGTTTGTGTCGCCGCCTTTGCTCCAGCCGTCGGTGGTTCCTTCGTCAGTGCCCCCGGCGGCTTTGGCTGGGGTGGTGCTGCTTGCGGTCCCGGCCCCACTGCCTCCTCCTGATCCTCCGCCGTCGGCTCTTGCGGCGGTGGAGCTTGCCAGTGACAGACCGCGAGCAACACCGGCAGGGGCAATGACACTACAATTGCCAACCCAAAAAGACTCACCTTGCGTATTAGCAGCTCCCACACCATCACCAACAATGCAATCTACAGCAACCACAACTAATCCACCATCCGAGCCCATTATTGAAAGACCAAGACGATCAACAGCCAACTACAACAGAAACTACGCACTCAACGGACAAGGGCGTAATGAGGGACGTGAGAGCAGGGTGACGGCCGAGTCCCGTTCAATGGACCATGTCAGGCGGGATAACAGAGAGAGAGCGCAGAGGAAGCAGATGATGGGACGGATGGTGAGGGGAGCAATGAGTCGGAGAGCGACGATTGTAGTGATCGTGAGAGTGCCGGTGAGAATGTTAGTGTTGTGCGTAGGTTTCGTGGTAGCAAGTCTTCAGTGTACAATCTTCTGTTGGCTAGTCCTGATTGTTGCAATTCGTATTCCAACTCTTCATTCACTGTATTGTGCCGTGGTCGTCATGGTTATGGACTACAGTTAAAGGTTTTGGAAGCCATCTGTCAGCGTCTGTATAAGCCTAATTTGTGTACAGAAAGATAGTATAATTGAGTTGAAATTGTTCAAGTAAAGTGTCATGTTTGGTGCGGCCAAGTTTGGCCGTTAATATTCTAGGTGTAATGTACTGCTGTTATTTGTAATCACTTTGTCCTTCCTTCTTTCTTTCTCTTCTTTGTTCACTTTTCAGTTGCAAGTTTAGTGTTAGTACACATATTCGTTATTGCTCTCGCTTTCATTGTTAAAATTCACAATTGTAAATTTCACTGCTGTTGTTCTTAGTGTTATTTCTCTAACTTAGATTTTCTATAATAGTTCAATTATTACTCATAAAAAGGACACACTTCAGGCTCATTACAAACATCTTGAAAGTTTTTTTCTTCACAAGTATACTTTCAAGCCTTCTCATCAGGTGTGTCCTTTTTATGAGTATTATCGCATTTTTGTCTCAGAGGAAACAGTTCAATTATTATTATTATTATTAGAAAGGTTCTTTCTTCCATATCTGGCTTACAAGTGTTGAGTTTCGGAGAGAAAAGAGCATTACGTGGCATGTGGCCTCAAATTTCCTAACACTTAGAAAGGAAAAGGACATAATTATGGAAACGAGTTAAGAGTAACTCTCCACCACTGTAACTAGATACTATATACAGTCAGAAAGTGCAACAACTAGGCACAAAACTGACAGAGCACTGAGACATTCGACGTCCTGACACCTAGCTTCAACACATCTCTGTAGCGCTAACCGAAAGCCTTCCAACTTGGAAGGTTCAAGGTTATGGTTATGGTTATGGTTCTCGCAAAGCTTCCCCCTTCTTAACTTATCTTTGATATTTTTGACCCACCCAAGTTGGGTGGTGTACTGCTTTGCTGCTTCGAATTGTAGTTAGACCGCTTTGTCAAATCGCCTACTGGTCTCGTCATCGTCCAGTGGCAATCGACATTCTTTGTTCCGTTGGGACTGTAGCTTGGGCTCGTTTTCGTTGCGCTTGCCTTCCTCTCTTTGGTCTTTTCCACTCCTCAGGAAGCTTCCTGAGGAGTGTTGTGCGAAAACTAGTTCGAAGTACAATTTTTTGTTCATCATTTCTTCCATATCACATTTTTTCTTTCTTCCATGTTCTTCACTGCCTTCGTATACACTCGTTTTTTGAATACAATAAAAACCTTTGTGAAAATGTCGGTTCAGCTCGTTCTGTTGATCGCAATTCTAAAATTATTATTATTATTATATTTATTGTGTTGATAATGAATACCTTGAGATCTGCAATTTTTCGTACTAAAAAAATCTTTTCAAGATCCCTTACTTACCACTGGTGTCTCCACGTCTTCGTTTTGTCCTGTCGTGAAGCGGATTAAGCGGCAACCCACTGGACACCTTACCAGAAGCTCTTTTTGGGACTGAAATAAATTCATTGACGCAGTTGTAAGTCTCTGCTGTTAGTGCTAGTTATTTAAAAGAACTAACATTATTATTCAAGATTATTCAACATGGGTTCATGCGTATGAGCGTATGAGCTATGAGTAACTTCATGGCATGAGCAAGCCGTAAAACGTCAACGCAAACGAGCAACTGGGTTAGAGTCCCGTCCTGACCATGTGAAACATACTCGTGTTTGACAAGTTCAGAGTGGTCAACTCGCCATGACCACAACGAGTGGGGTTTAGTCCAGGGCATGCAATTTCTACCGCAACATGGAGATAATAAATCTCGCCTTTTTTGTGTTTTGACTTTCCTAAAGTTGCAAAAGTTTTTATGCGCTCTTGTTGGAATAAAGTATGACGGCAAAACGGAAAATATTTTTGATATGTGCCTTACGATCATAGCAGTCAGTTGCACACCATCTTACTTATATGCACACTATACTTGGAGGTGTCCACCTCGCTACCCTCAGTTATAGCGAGCATGGCCCACACCTCCACTTCTCTGCAAATATCATGTTTTCTTAAAAAAACTCTTCTGACCGCTGCTTGTGTAATGGTAGCCGAGTGGAGGCGCGGTGCGATCAACCAGTTAGCTTTTATTATTATTCTCTCACATACACACCCGGGATATATTATAAGTAAAATAAGAAGCAAAGTCTTCCAAGCTTTGTTCGGTGTCTTCCCGAGCAAGGCAAACAATACTCGCTTCGATTCTTCATGTATTGCAGCCAACACATGTCTTTTCTACTGTACTGGCAGATAGAGCAATACACAGTCGCAGCAGCCATTCGTTTTGTCGTTCTTGGCGCGGGTGTCCTCGAACAGGTCAGGATATTGCTCCAGTGCCAGCTTGCCATCGTGTATGGGGACTTTCATCAAAGGCTTACGCCCTCCGCTGTGACTGGGAGCTCCCGCTGTACGTGCGACCTCCAGGGTGGGGAGCAAACCCATTTCCTAGCTATATTTTACAACGATTTTTTTTTCCTACGTTCACATAACCAGCTCGAAAAGAATAAGGAAAGACAATGGTACGGAGACTAGGACAAACGTGACAACTAATGAGCAGGCGCTGCACCGAGACGCAGCAGTGATGGTGGGGCATTGATGACTCTGCCGACCTGAGGTCTCGGCGTCACGGCCAAAAACACGCACCAAAAACAATGAAAAAAGAAGAAGATAGAGCTGTACAGGTGAGAAAGATGCAAAAACCCAACGATAAAATAGTCCGCCCGCACTCCCCATTTTTTCCATGTTTTTCTGAAAAAAGGAACGATCATGAAGTATCTTATTTGGCTTGGCCTAACATGGGATTTGAACTAGCACTGTCGCCCTAGCAGGCAGGCATAGTGGGATGGTCTAAGACCATGATTTAGAAACAGAGGGTACCAGGTTGAAGTCCTGCTTGGAAGCGGAAGGATTTTCCAGCCGTGATGCGACCCACTGTTAATTGGGAACTCGTGGCCTGGCACGAGGGAAACATGGATGCAGTGAATGGGATTTTCGGTCTTTGACCACATGGTGGTGAGCTGATCTACTCACTTCCCACCGCTTTAGGAGCTGCATCTGCGCCTTGATCCTGGAAGGGTGGTGGTGTTCCTAAGGAAGCAGAAAACTCGGTGTCTATAATAAACCGAGTCACACGCGAACCGTGAATTTTTTTAACGCCCTTCATGCATTCCCCCGATACACTTCGCATACATGCACATTCTTCCAAGTTGCTTCATGTTATGTATGTGTTGTGTCCTGCTCAAGGCAGACCAACTCTTCGAAAGATGAGAATGAATCATCAGTACAACGCAATGGCTTTTAAAGGGAAGCTGGCTGCAAAGGCGGCTTGAAAGGTGACATGTGAATGTGTTATGTGCAAGGCGCCAGAGGTACAGCAGTGCAGGGCCTAGGGTGCGAACAGCAGCACTAGCAGCCTGAGTGCCAAGACCCATGCAGGGAAAGGTGCTACAATATCACCACATGCCCCCTCGGCTTAAGTGCGACTTGGGAGCACTAACACAAAGAAAATCCTGAAACTGAAATTCGAAAATCACAGCGTAGCGCACAAGCAACAAGGAAAAAGCAAGAGAAGCATGCCCAGTCAATCTATGCACGTGGCCGGAGGAACCGTCTGTTCCGCCAGAAGCTGGACCCCGTCACTGTCTGCACTGTGTAGCTCCGTCCTCTTCTCGTGCATTTTGTGACCGTTCCTTCCATATCCCAGCGTTTTGAAGACTGGTTCTGGATCCATACCTTATCGCCCGCGTGCAGAGGGGGCAGAGGTTTGCCAAGCTGGGATGAGACCTGCTGGGGAGCACTGCGGCTGTGGGCAGCGTACTGCTGCAGATTTGCAGGAAGTGTGGGAACCTTGGTCCTCGTTGGCCTTCCAAACAGCAGCTGGGCCGGGCTTGCTCCTCCTGCACCAGGCGTGTTACGCCACTCCAGCAACCCTTCTCTGAAGGCACTGCTGTTATAGGTGTCACCTTTGCCAATTTTCATTAATAAGTGCTTCATGGCCTTGACCGCCGCCTCAGCCGCGCCATTCGACTGAGGATTGTACGGGCTGCTGGGGTCGTGGCAAATGTTCCACTCTGAGCAGAACGAAGCGAACGCTGAAGATCTGAATTGCGGCCCACCATCCGTCGTGAGGCGCGTAGGAACGCCAACGTCCGACATCCACTGAACGAGATGTTTGGTGACGTCAGACGTGGTAGCCGATCTCCCACAACGCCCAACAAATGGCCAGCCGGAAAACTTGTCGGTGAGAACCAGGTACTCAAAGCCGCCTAGGGAGAAGAGGTCCGCCGCTGCATCTTCGAACGGTCTGGACGGACGACTGTCAGAGAGGAGCGGCTCAGAAGGTTGGGAGGGGAGCAGCGTGATGCAGGATCTGCAAGTCTGGACGACGTTCTTAACGTCATTGGAGATCTGGGGCCAGTACACTGCTTGCCTGGCCCTGCGGAGTGTGCGGGTCTGTCCCTGATGAGAAGCGTGAAGTTGCTCCAGCGTGGTCTGGCGTAACCTTCTGGGAACGACAATACGGTGGCCCAACAACACTATGCCGTCCTCGACCGACAGGTCATGCCGAACCTGCCAGTACGGGTGCAGATCGAGGTCTAGAGCAGCCTTGTCCACCGGAAAGCCGTTCTTTACGGCGTTCAGCAGCTTGAGGTATTCCGGGTCCGTCGAGCCCTCCGCCCGCACCTTCGTAATGCCAAGGTCGGGGAGGACTGTATGGCCTGTTTCCTCGTCCTCTTGCGACAGCTGACGGAGAACACAGTAGCAGTGCTCGATTTCTTCCTCACCAGCTTCATCGTCAGGGTCTGGTGCACTTACTGGGTGTCTCGACAGGCAATCTGCGACCTTGTGGTCGGCACCCGGTCTCCACTGAGCCACGAACCGAAAAGGCGTCAGCTTCTCCCGTAGTCGCACGATTCGTGGAGACGTCAACTCATCCAGCGTCTTAGCATTCAGAATAGGAATGAGCGGCTTGTGATCGACTAGCAGCTCGAAATCAGCACCGGCCAGGAACAGTCTAGCCTTGTGGACTGCCCAGACTACCGCCAGCAGTTCAATCTCCGTTGCAGAGTACCTGGCCTCGGTCTCAGTGACGTGCCGTGAAGCACATTGCACTAGACGCCACCGCCCGTCCACTTGCTGCTGCCACAGTGCCATGCCGAGACCGTTTGACTGCGAGGCGTCTGTCTCGAGACGAAGCGGCTGTGCAGGGTCGAAGGTAGCCAACACTCGAGGGCTTACCAGCTCCTCTAGTATAGCTGTAAATGCCTGTTGCTGCGGATCCTCCCAGATAAACTCATTCTTTGGAGAGAGCAGAGAGCGGATCGGGGATAGAAGCTCCGCTAGTCGCGGCGTGAACGCGTCGAACTGCTGCACGAGTCCACAGAAGGATCGGATATCAGTGCGGTTGGTAGGGATTGGAAAGTTGTGTAGATCCTCCACCAAGCGTCGATCAGGACTGTAGCCGTCCGGCGTCACCACGAATCCGCAGTACGATGCTCTGGGTGCCGCAAAGACGAATTTGCGGCGGTTCAGTGTGATTTGGTTCTCCGAGCAAAGCTTGAGCACATTGCGAACCCTCTGGGTGTGCGCCTCAAGCTCAGTGTCGTACACGATGACATCCTCTACCACTTTCTGAAGATTCGAAAACCCGGCGAACACTTCATCTCCTCTCCGGTTGTGTTCGTCACCTGCCGACACCAAGCCCATGACGTTCCGCTTGAAACGGTAGGCACCCCATGGCGTCATGAACGTTGTGAGCCTGGTGCTGTCGTCGTCGAGGGGTACCTGCCAGTAGCCATGGCGAGAATCTAGGGTGGTGAAGTACTGCATCCCCATTGGGATCGACGCGACGACTTCCCGAGGTACTCGGGTTGGGTATGCCGGCCTCTTGACCCATTTATTTAGACCCGTCAGGTCCACCGCGATGCGCGGCTCACTGGAATTCTTCTTAGGGACCACCACCAGTGGGTGGCACCAAGTGTATGCTTCGCCGACAGGCACCTTCTCAATGACGCCCTTGCCCACCATGTCGGACAGCTGGTTCTGCACAGCGTCCCGCCACCTGAATGGGATGAAGCGAGCGCGATACAGGCGGCATGGCAACGCGCCATTGATGAGCTTGATGCGCATCGGCTCACCGCTCATGGGCTTGAGCGGGGTATCACAGAACACTTCTGGAAACTCTTCCAGCAAGGTACGTCGGATTTCCTCAGCTGCCGTCGACGCAGTACCTACTGACGTGTCTGCGACTTCGGATGCTTGCTTCCGAGGGATGGAGATGTTTGCCACGCTTTGTACCCTTAGATGGGAGTGAGGCCATCCATCCTCGAGAAGCCGCAACTTCATGCACGTGTCCTTGCTGAGCAGAGGTGTCTTCAGCTGCCGGAATACGTGCAGGGTCGACACGGCGGTAGTGTCGCTCAAAGACAACTGAGCCTCGAGCTTGCCCATGGAATCCAAAGCTGTACCGTGTCCGGCACTAGATTCATCCTG